AGTCGTGCTCTTGCTCAGGCTGGTTTTGAACTCCTGACCTTGAGTGATGCTCCTGCCTTGGCCTCCCGGAGTGAGGGATCACAGGTGTGAGCCGCTACACCCGGCCTTCTTATTCTTTTATGATTTGCTTTTACCTTTGTGTATTCAGATTCCCCAGGATCCAAATAAAGGATCCAGAAACTGCCATAGCACAATATTCATATTCTTAACTGTTGCTGTTTTTCAGCCATAAGTAAGTCTATAAAGCCACAAATGGTTCTAGCATAGGGCACTGAAACATTGCCAGTAGTGGAGAGTAGTTCAGCTCTTCTGGATCCATCTGGAGAGTTGTAATTGGAACATTGCCTTCCTCAGTAATATATTAATATTTATTGATTTACCAAAGGAAGAGTATCTCCTTTTGGGCACCAAATAATTTGTTCTGAGCATAGGTTAAATGTGCTCCTTATTTAAAAGTTATTACCAGAACATTTCATGTTCTGGTTACTGAATCCTGAGAAGACCAGGTATGGGCTCAGTGGGAACTTGGGAAGGATAGTGTTAATCCTAAGGCTGTACTTGCCCACTGTTGGGCTTAATGACTGGAACAAAGACTGCTACCCCTAGCTTGCTCTAGAACACACCCCAGCAATGATGTCAGGCCTGGCCCTTAGAAGGTAGATGAGAGCAGCTTGCTGGCTCCTTTAAAGTGTGGCCTTTGAAGGCTAAATGGTAGGTACAGCATAGAAACACTGCAATGAAAATCCTAAGAATTCCCTACACAATTGTTTCTATCCTAAGTCTTGCCCACAAAAGAGGTAAAACCTGGAGCTGACAAAGGTTTGGGAGAGTTCAGCAGTTGCATCCAAAAGAGAGCTTGCAGTCCTCACCAGAAAAGATGTAGTGTCAGATGAGGAGCAGATGAATGAGATCACACTGCCCTGATGAGTCACTTCCCTGAGTGATGTCACCAGCTGGGTTTTCACTGCCAGAAAAATCAGCAGCTGCTGGACTAGAACATTCCACATCACTGACAATAGCTTTTCTTTCCCTAGAAGTCTGCTTTCTGCCATTCTGCCAGAGCACCTAACTAACATGCTTTCTCTTTTTATATTATTTATACCAGAAGGTAAGGAAACTGCCTTTATGTTCTGAGCTATGCATTATATAGGATACAATAAAAATAAAGGAATATAAAGGCTTTTTCTGAAGTCCAAGCCAAAGCTTTAAGGCCAGAATCAGCTAGATGTAAATAGAGGCCTGAACTTTTTTATACAGAGAGAAACAACTCACTGAAGATCATGCAACAAACCAATAAAGTCAAAATTTTTTCTTATCCTAAACTTAGCAATAGTCTCATAACACAAAAGCAAAGGCCAACTAGATCCCAGTACTCCTTCACCCAATGAATTATTAGCAGAGACTCATTTCATTTACTGACTTGTTAATTTTTTAATGGAAGCTGTTTACCTGAAAGAGAAATATGCACCTTTACAGAGTAGAACAGATCTATGGAATGCAACCAGCCAGTGCTCCATTTATTGTAGGTCATGAAATGAAGGCATTTTCCTCTAAACTCCACAGGCCCAAGAGTTTTCATTTTACCACTGGAGAAGATGTATTTACCTGTGCCTGATTGAATGGGAACTAAAAGAAGGAAGAATTAAATTACTTTTCAATTTATTTTACATAAGAATTATGGGCCCTGTGGCACAGCTTAATAATAAGACATGCATATCAGAAAATACCTCAGGAAATAGCCATCAATGTGCCTGATGTAAATTCTTTATCATTTAGCCTATTGAGTTGATACAACATTTTTTCAATATATATCAATACATACATAAATATGATGGCCATTTATCACTGTTGAGATTTAAAAAGATACTGTATAAAACATTTTCTGGCCAGGCATAGTGGCTCATGCCTGTAATCCCAGCACTTTGGGAGGCTGAGGCAGGAGGATCACTTGAGATCAGGAGTTCAAGACCAGCCTGGGCAATATAGTGAGACCTGTCTCTACAAAAAAGTAAAAAATTAGCTGGTGTGGTGGTGCACATCTGTGTTCCCATCTACTTGGGAGGCTGAGGTGGGAGGATCACTTGAGCCCAGGAGTTTGAGTCTGCAGTGAACTACAATTGCACTATTGCACTCCAGCTTGGGTGACAGACAGGCTGAGAGGAGACCCTATCCTCCCCCCCAAAAAAATTGGCACTGACCACCAGGTGGCTCTTATTTTCCCAAGTCCCAGTGGTTTCTCCTCAAGGACACTCTTCAGGGACCTTAAGGAATTCTATGTGTGAAAGATGCTGGCCCAGAGTTGCTTCTTAGTTTAGGACAGAGTCAAGGAAACAACCTAGCTCACAACATTAAAAAATGCCAAAACCAGCCTGGGGTGGGGGCTTAAGCCTGTAGTCCTAGCTACTCAGGAGCTTGAGGTGGGAGGATTGCTTGAGCCCAGGAGCTAAGGCCTGCCTGGCCAACATAGTGAGGCCCCCAACTCAAAAAAATAATAAAGTAGCTAAAATTTAAAATAAAATTAAAAAATACTAAAACTATAAAGTGATATTCCTATTCCTTGAGGCATTGGCTCTAATACAGCTCTTCAGGGTATAGTGTGGCTGCATCTATTCTTAATCTTGTGTAGTAACAAGCTTCACATGAATCTAAGAAATTCAAACCACACACAGACTTTCTAGTGAACCAGACCCGGCCATGGCAGGGGATGGAAGCACCAACTCATCAGGGCAAATACTTCCTGAGACCTCTGTCAGTTGGCAACAACTAGGCTAATTTTCCCCAGAATGTTTGTGATTTCTGCAGTTTAGAAAGTTGTTAGAAATGCAACTTCTGCAGTTGTTAGAAATGCAACTTCTCAGCCCCCACCCCTAGACCTGCTAATCATAAACTCAGTAATCTGTGTTTTAATAGGCCCTCCAAGGTAACTCTGACCCATATTAAGGGATCCTCTGTGCTAGTAAAACCGAAGATGTTTCCAGTGAGGAGACTGCTAACACAATGCTCAAGGATTTCATAAGCAAACTTTTTGTTGTTGTTGTTGTCACCCTGGGTAGGGTGCAGTGGAGTCATCATAGCTCACAGCAACCTCAGACTCCTGGGCTCAAGCGATCCTCTGCCTCAGCCTCCCGAGTAGCTGGGACTACAGGTGCATGCCACAATGCTGGCTAATTTTTCTATTTTCGTATAGATGGGGTCTCACTCTTGCTCAGGCTGTACTTGAACTCCTGATTTCAAGTAATCCTCCTGCTTTGGCCTCCCAGAGTGCTAGGATTACAGGCGTGAGCCACTGTGCCCAGAAATACTTCTCTTAAGATTAGTTACAATATCTTAGAAGTTTATGTGGTAGTGCGGGTAATGCAGGCACAGTGGTTACAAGGTGAAAGCCATGCATACATTCAAGGAATGTTCTGTTATGTTGAACTTTGTTTTCCTCTGGTTGAGATTCTCAAGCCTTCGTTCCTTTCCCCTTCTTTATACCTTAAGATCCCACAGGCCACTGGTTCTCATCCTTAACTGTACCCTAGAATCACCTTGGGGGCAAATCACCACCAAAAAACCCGTGTCACAGATTCTGATATAGTTGCTCTGGGGTTGTGGTGTCTGGGCATCAGTATTCAAAGTTCTCCAGGTGCTTATACAGCCAGCATTGAGAACCACTGCCAGAGACTGTAGAACTGGACAATCACAGGTATGTGTGTGTAGGTGGAAAGTATTTCATAGCTTGTAATATAAACAAAACGTGAAAACTAAAAGATTAAGCTATATATAAACCCATCCCTTATTTTCAAAAAGGTGTAATTTATGTACCAGTCTAGTTCAGTGGTTCTCAGAGGGTGATCCAAAATTCCCCAGGGCTTCCTGAGACTCTTTCAGGGAGTCCAAGAAGTCAAAACTGCTTTCTTAATAACATTATTATTTGCCCTTTTCACTTTCATTCTAAGTTTGCAGTGGCGTTTTCCAGAGGTCAAATGATGTGATGATGTCATTGCTTTGACAGCAGACGAACTGTGTTTTGTCTTGAAAATGTTCCAGTTTCTGGCCTGGCGCGGTGGCTCACCTGTAATCCTAGCACTCTGGGAGGCCGAGGCGGATGGATTGCTCGAGGTCAGGAGTTTGAAACCAGCCTGAGCAAGAGCGAGACCCTGTCTCTACTTTAAATAGAAAGAAATTAATTGGCCAACGAATATATATATAGAAAAAATTAGCCAGGCATGCTGGCACATGCCTGTAGTCCCAGCTACTTGGGAGGCTGAGGCAGCAGGATTGCTTGAGCCCAGGAGTTTGAGGTTGCTGTGAGCTAGGCTGATGCCATGGCACTCACTCTAGCCTGGGCAACAAAGTGAGACTCTGTCAAAAAAATAAATAAATAAATAAATAGAAAATGTTCCAGTTTCTAATAGGAACCTATAGATATTACTCAGAAAGATAAAAACTCCTCAAATGTACTAAGTTTAAGTGGAAAGGGGTTCTCCCATCCAACTACTACCCTGCTTAGCTTCGGAGATCAGACATGATCAGGCGCGTTCAGGGTGGTATGGCCGTAGACAAGGGAAGGGGTTCTCAAGACCAAAAATTTGAGAACCTCTGGTCAGGATCAACGGACACAATACAATAATTTTAGTTTTCATTTAACATTAGGGCAAAAGAAGATTTGCCTAAGCAGTTATGTTGATAAATGATGAAGGAACACTGGGACAGTAGTTTCTTTCAAAGGATTGTAAATGATGGAAAAAATTAGGGGAAGCAAGTGGTCTGTCTGGGTTATGGATCAAAGCATAAAACTAATTGCAATTTTGATTTACTCCACATATGGCTTACCAGAAAAGGGTATGGGAACCTAGAAATTCTAGAATTGTCTACAGTTCAGATGAAATGTGCCATGATTTTCAAGTCACTGCAAGTGGGAACTCCAATTCCATATCCATTTGTGAGCCCTGGCAGAAGGTATTTCCCTCCCCTACTACCACATAATTTCTTAAATCAGAGACACCAGCACAAGATTGTCATTCACTTTTCCGCATACTTTATTTGTTACAAACATACAATTTTTTAAATATAGACTGTAAAACTCCATTTGCAAAAGTCTATTGTAAGGAGTGCACACCAGCAGGAAGGATTCTTAACTTTTTTCTCTATGAGTTTTTCTGTCAGTTTTGCTAGTTAGTGGTAAATACCGGACCCGCCATTTTACAGACCTGTCTGAAGCTTCTGGCTGTATTCACATTGCTCTTTTGAAGCAGCCCTGCTTGTCTCAAAATTGATCAGAATCTGAGCTTCAACCTACAGGCAGTGAGATCAACAGCCCGTCTGGACTCTGCTTTTGTACGGTTTTCAGGAAGTGTGATTTCTGAATGGGTACTGCACTTTACGGATTTGTTTGAATTGCCCATGCAGCTCTATGTTTGTTAAAGTGCATTCTTCTTTTAAAAAATAAGCAAGAGGAATAATCTTTACTCTTTAACCAAGGTACTTAAAAAAATGAACTTTTTGGTCTCTCAGCAGATATTCCCAAATTGATCCTATCACTACAAACTTTAGTGTCTATTTACAAACATTTATAGGGTTACAGGTAGAGGGGACCTTACAAAATTAAAGGTGCAACTTCTCTTGAAGCAGAAATCAGTTCTACAAATTCATACATTGACACACTTGGTTTACAATGCATAAGCATGTGGGTATTTACAGAGATTGAAGACATCCCAAAAAACTCCTTTTAAAGTAATTTCCAACCTAAACTCTAATTGTACATCTACATCAGGAAGCTGTCTCCTGCTATCAAGATTTGGTTTTAATTCATTCAAATTATTTCTATAGATTCTCTACTGGCAGGACATAAGTCCCAGCTTTGGAGTGAAGAATCTAGTCTAAGGAAACCACTGGTAGTTATGATTGGCAGTGAAGATTCCTATAGACTGGAAAATGTATTATCTGGAAATTTATCAGAAGACAGATGGATTTTTAAAAATCATCTTGGAAACACATCTGCACAAAGGCAGAAAAGGAAGAATAAATCCCTACTAATATAATCGTTCTAAAACTTCAGAAAAAGAAGTCCAAATACAATGACAATCTTACTGTTCAAATATTAATAATTCATTGAAAAGAAGTCAAATATACTTGCCTGCTACCAAAATGTGCAAAACCATGGACTCTTTTAAGTATGTCCCGTACTGATTTAAAGTCAGTTTGCCCAATCTATTGACTTTTAGGAATCCAGAGAACTTTTATATACAGGGTGACACGTGGGCTGGGAGAAAAGGGTTTATGCCTAATACCTTATCAATTGAAAATGAAACTCTCAAATTTCTACAACACAAATGTGTTTAGTGTTATAATCCAGTTCTTCAATTTTCTTGGGACTGTCCCTACAGTTATGTCTCTAAAAAAGGAATTTTAAAAGGGAAGAAATAAACCACTTGCCATTCTACCTCCAAATATAAAGATTTTTTTCTAACCAGTTTAATCTTACAACATAGAGTTAAGAATGGGGATGAAATATTTTGCCTTTAAGAAATAAGAGATGGTCTAAATCAATTTTGAGCTAACTATTGAAGAGTTATTGACAGGGAAAAAAAGACAAACTCATGCCTTCTGCAATATGCTAGTGGACACTGAATAGGTCTATTGCTTTCTCTCCAATACTCTGGGCCCACGTTTCATCATACTAAAATGGTATAATTAGTCCTCTTTTATCCGTGTCAATCTACATTAGATACAAGGGAAATGGAATTTGCTCCTAGACTCAGAATTTCATGTTACTTAAAAGTACATTTATACTCTTTTGTCAAACTGTTAGAATCATCTATGGAGAAAAATGATAAAGTTTTAGCTTCTAATAAAGCTCTGCTCTCTATTAGAAGTCCTACAGAGCAGTGAAACTACCAATATGGCAGTTGCTATTTTAACATGGCTCTACCTACCTATCCCAACTGGAATGTCTAATTTAAGAGGCTTGAGTTAGATTTCCAAATGAAAGTAAAAGATTGTGAATAGAGGTGATTACATTGATGGCATATTCCCTATTTCTTTAGGAAATATAAAATACATTCATAAAGGCCTTACTTGGATCAGGGGAACAGATATTAACTGGGAATTACTATGGTAATAATACGTCTACATGATGCAATTTTATTATCTTTTCATTTTCCAAATCTAACTTTCAGTACTGACAATTAGATCACATTTGTTCAAGTAAGAGTCTGTTAAATCTATCAGTAATGAAACTAGGTTCTAAGGCCGAGGGCTGGGAAAGATGACTTTAAATAGTAAAGTCAGATATATCAATAGAAGTCACTATTCAAGAGTCCAACTATATCTTGAAACTTCTGGGGGCTAATATTTGAAAATTAATGACTTTGTTTTTCTAACTTAAAAACAGGGAAAAAATTAAGTTATAATTTGCCGCTTCCATCTTACATCTGGAATTTCAAATGGGGCATATGACATGCACTTTCTTTTTTGTCTACATTTTCTTAAGGTAAATGGTTCTTTTTTTCTTTTATCTTTTCTACAAACTATCCCTCCCCAGCCCCACCCACAATACCCATTAATCTAGTATATTGAATTGGAGTTGTAATTCCTTAGGAAGACAGCTAATTGATTTACAGTACTCTAAAACCAACCCTGAAAACTGATAATCTCATTCATTTACTATAACTTCAGTGCTGTTGTTGACAGAAAAGAAAGTTACCTTAAGGCTCAAGGGAAAGTAACATATTAAATTGTGAATGCAGCATTATTTACTCTCCCATCCATTGGAAACTAGCAAAATGCATTCTGGATCAATAATACAAACTTTCTACCATTAGCAAAGATTTCTACTCTTCTTACAGAGTTAGAACAATATTCATAAGCAGATTATCTAAGGGAGCCTGAGAAACCATGATCCACATCACACAAAGATTCTATGTATTTCATGATCAAAAAGTGCTTTATCTTTGAGAAATATGTCAGGGTTAAAATGGAAATATACAATGTAAAATCACTTGACACTTTTTCAAGTGAAGTACAAAGTGGAAAAGGAGCAAAAAGATGGAGGCCCTGCTCTCTGAACAGGCCTTTTGCACGTGACTTTTAGGGTATACTAAATTAAAATTATTTTAAGAATTAATAATAGTGGGATTTTACACCACTATATTCTAAAACCTGAGATTGAACATCAAAGCATCAACTTTGTTATTCATCAGAGCAATTCTGATACTTCCTAAAAATAGAAGATAACTCAATTGAATTAACTTCAGGGTCAAAAACATTAACTTTCCCAAATCAAAAAGGACACTGATCACAAACATTATACTAGGAGTACTGCAGAATGACAACTCTCAGCAAACGAGTCATTTTTACATAAGCAAAAGTCACTTCTCTCCTTTCCCTTCTCACTGATCAAGGCCACACTATTTTCAAATGAATATCTACTGAGAGATCAGTTGTGCATTGGACAAAGTACCATAACTGGGTTAAAAATGAAAACAAAATTTACAGTGAAGAATACTTATGTGCATGGCTTACACACTCCAGCTTCTCTTTAATTTCATCCACCTCAAGAGCAAGATAGATGCAAACAAAGTCACCTTGTGTAGATTATTACATTCTACACCCCTGTAAAGCCAGTGAAGGTCACATTTAACAAAGCATCTTCAGTAACTACAGTGCCTGAAGTGTGCAGCCATTTATAGACCACTCAATATGAGGGCATTATTATAACCAGCCTCTTTTGCCCACAACCCTGCTATTTTCAGATAAGACAGGATAATTGTTTTGTTTTGAGAAAACTGAAGCTTGAATCTCTTAAAAGACCTGCAATTTACTGCAAAGTGATCCAGAGGTAACAAAGGAAGCAGGAGGTTAATGGCTGCCTGCACCAAAAGCCTCTCAATCATCTCACAGTAAATAATTATGGAAAGTGACGTGACACGTAGCCGTGTGTGTGTCACAGCTACAGTCGTTTATACCACCTACATGCCTCCAATAGTTACATAGGGTGTCTGGGTTTTTGGTTTGGTTTTCATTTTGATTTTTGGTGCCATACAAATTTACATACTGTTTTGTGCAGCATATGCACTGAAATATTTGCTGACTAGAACTACCGTTCCACTTGCTGAAATGATAGATAGGGACAATAGAAACCAGAAAGAGTAATAGGATCTCTTCACAGATTTTTGCTCTTTTCATTCTCTTCCTAAAATTTGATTTCTCATCTCTGTAACTATGGTAGTTTGAGAAACAAACCTTCCACCAATTATTTGAAAAGGAGTTTTAGTTCCCTACTTCTCAGAAATATGACTATTTTGATTAGCTGGGATGTTTGCCAAACTTAAAAAACAAGCTCTAAATCGTTCACAGAAGCAGCTGAGAAACAAAACAAAAAAAATTGGTTGTTTCCCATAGTCTGTACAATTCTATTATCTGACTGGAATTAACAAAGACCATTTCCTTTAATAAGCTAATACTTATGAATGTATCTCTGTGCTTTGCAGATTTCTATTGTCCCTAGTGATTGGAATGAGGATCAATGAACTGCTACAATTAATCCACATCCTTCTGCATCTTCCTGCAGTGGGAAGAGAGGCCATGAACCACTCCTTGCAGGAGGAACAAACCTTAGAGATTGGTTAAGACTTAAAAACCCACCACTATGACATTTACCACTTAATCTTACATAGGCAGGTCAAAATTTTAATATAAATTACTTTTGCCAACACATAGCTTATGCATTCTTTGCTCCTTTTTTTGGAGGATTCTCAAATTGACATCTAAAGATTTACATATGATATATTACTGTTATATGGTCTAATGACTAAGAAAATTTCTCTGGTAACCAAAGCTGATGCCATATATGGTAGTGTTCTTGGCATATACTCTATATGCCTCAGACCACTTCCACATTCTTTCTATTCAGCTAATTATAGCTTGGTAGCCACTGGTGAAGGATTGTGAAGACCCTGTCATTTCTACAGAATAGAAAGGCAAGGCTAGTTACTGCAATTCAGCCAAACAAAAAGAAAAAAGAATAAACCAACTCCTTGAAAAGGAGAGGTACTGCACCTTTGCAAAATTGAACTGGCTCACTGCAGCTGAGCAACAGAACCACCACTGAAGCAAGAAAACAAGTTGGTCTATACAGGAATTTTACATGGTTTGAAAATGAAAAAGTTACAGCAATCAACTAATAGCTGCAACCTTAATTTTCATTGCTGCCTCAGAGTATGAAACTTAAACAGTTTCTGCAAACCTAATGCTAGCTTTTCAGCTCCTTTACTAAAACTATTTAGGAATTTGTTCTCCGCAGCAAAGAAATAAACACTCAAAACACATAGGTAAATACAGCAGGACATTATTGAAAACAGCTGCCTTGTAGTACAAAATACAGTACAAGTATACGGATGTCATTAAAACATCAAAAATACTATTGCTCCCATACAATTTAGGAAACATTCTTTGCAACGGAGAAAAATTTAAAAGAAAAGCTTTAAAAAAATCTGTTTAAAAATTCTACTGTGGATGATGAGAGTAGAGAAATAGTCTGAAAAGGGCACCAATGTTTGTGGCTCTTCAACGTTTTTTTTTTTTTTTTTTAAATCTAAGATCAACAATATTCTGCATCATTGTCTATTTTTTAAAAAAGCCTAATTTTATATACACAATTATTTCCCACCCTCTCAGCCACAAATACATGAAAACCTTTTTGTATATTACTCATTTCCCAATAAATACAAAAAGATTGTATAGATTGAATAATACCAAAATAAGATAATAAAAAGGATATGCAATAAATTAAAAAGGCAGCTCAAATAAAGGGCAGGCATGCAGTTAAAAAAAATGCTAAGATTGTGGAGGTGGGGTTACTTGCCTCCTGGTTGAGAAGGTGTCACACAAACAATACCTGAAAACTTTGGAAAGAAGGTTAGCTCCCATTCAATTCAAAGTTACCTAGGTCTATGACATTTCTAGGAATACCTTTTGATGGGGGTGGGATTAACTCGATTAGTAAAAATCATTTCTACTGAAAATCCATTTAAAATATAGAAGAGGCGATCCTTGAAAACCCCAACTTTTATTCTTGAAAGACAGCTGGATAAACTGGCAAAAGCCAGTTTGTTGAAATTTCAAGATGGTATAAAAACGCTTCCAGGATATAGTCAGCATATTCACGTTTACTTCAGTTCCATTCACAGATGGATTTCAGCTTCCAACGGGTGCACTGCTTGAATCATTCATCCATCATTTGCCAACTTTGATTGTGAGGTACTGATACAATGGATCAAGTTCTTAAAAATTTATTTTAAAAGAATAAATGATGCTGGAATTCTGGACCTGAGGATCTTTAGCATTTGAACAAATCCACAGATTAACTGAAGGTAAATTAAGACTTCAGTTTTGGTTATTTCCAACTTTTCCGTGAGGACGTATATTCCATTAAAGCTCAGGCTTGTAGCCACACTGTTCCTTTTGCAGGTAATCTTCAAGTTTTATGGTTTAAAATTCAGCCAACCAGTGGCCGTAACAGCCGAATTAGCCATAATTCACTGGCTCACACAGTGGAGATTTGACTCTTATTCATATCTAAGCCATTTCTTGGTAATGATCTCCGTATTTAGAGATCAGGGGAAGAACTTTAGTGAGCAGCAACCAATCCACTCAAACAGTTTGCCTTGTGCTTTATGCCCAACTTTGTCTTGTGCCTACCTCAGCAATCCCCAATGTAAAACTGCTTTTATCTTTGAAAAATTTTTGCCAACTTTAAAACTATTTTAGTAATGAATTCTAATTCAAGCATTGATATCTGAATCCATTTGCATCCTGGAAAACAATTCTGCAAAGAAAAGACATGGGCCTTGGTCCAGGTTCCAAGCAAAACCATTTTTTAAAAAAATGGGTCCAATTTGTTTCTGTATTCTCCAATAGCCTCTTGAATGATTATTTTTGCCCGTCTATGATTATTTAAAGTTGTATTCCTTTCCATGAACCTGTACTCTCAGAACTCGGTAACTACAAAGGCCTCTGTCTTCTCAAAGATTCCACGAAGACCTAGATTCAAAATGTAGATTTCAATGGAGGTGAAGGGAAAGAGACTGCAACAGTGAGGCCTGGAGAGATCCTTTAGACCAGATTACCCAAGTAAAACACAAATCCAACAGTTATCAATGGACCTGGGTAACTCAGATGTGTTTCTTGGCCCAGATGTGCGAGGATCTATCCCCTCCAGGGTCATCCTGATAGGATTGGGAAACTCAGTTGGGAAACAACAGAAGCTGAGACTATTTTGCGCAGGTGAGGAGATGCTGTTGTCCTCTCTTTGCAGGTTGCTGTTAGTTCCTTGGAACTTTACTGCTTTTCTCTAATTGTCCGTGACTGTTCTCTTATGGTTATTTCTCTTAACTATATTATCTTTTGTTTGTTTTCTCCCTCTGGGGCCTCCCTTGCTCCCTCTCCACTAGCTCACTGGGGATGAGCAAAAAGGGGAACTCTCTAGCCAAGGGTATGGTTGATGATGGGGCGGGGGAGGCCTGTAGGGGAAGCTGCCCATTTCAATCCTCGTCCACCTCTTCACCCTCGGACTCTTCGCCACCGCCGCTGCCCCCACCACGACGCTCATAAAGCTTATCCCTCTGTCGCTCCTGGATTTCTTTCATCTCATCCGCATACCGGCAAAAGGCGCCTCCGAACTTGCCCCAGGCTTTGAAGGGCACGGTGATGGCATTGCGGTAGGACGGCTTCACCTCGCTCACTCGCAGGAACACCCCGTATTTGTTGCAGCCCACGTCGAAGAAGAAGCGCTTGGAGTCTACCGTGATAGAGGTGCCCTCTGGGAGCTCCCCGTACAGGCCGCCCCCGGGGCCCCCGGCGCCGCCTCCCGGGCCCCCGGCCAGCTCGTCGTCCTCGCCTCCATAGTCGTCGATTAGCTTGGCCAGAGCGTCGCGGAATTCGATGAGGCCCTGCGCGGGTAACGCGATGGTCTGGCCGCTCTGCAGGCCGCCGGGCCCGGGACCCGCGCCAAAGCCGCCGCCGCCGCGGTTGACCGTCTGGCGGATGCGCAGGAAGCGGCCGCGCTGGTTTTCCTTAAGGTCCAGGTAGTACTTGCGGTTCTCGCGCACCAGGAACTCGCTCTTAAGCGCGCGCCGCGGCCCGCCGCCCTCCTCTGCGCCCGCCGCCAGCTGCTCGGGGCTGCTGGGGCCCAGCTGCGCGTAGTGCTCGATGAAGTCGCCCAGCGAGTCGCGGAACTCGGCGGCCACTGCCATGGACAGCGTGAGGCGGCTCTTGGAACCGCCGGCGCCCACCTCGGCGATCTTGAGGAAGCGGCCCTTGGCGTTCTGCTTCACGTCTAGGTAGAAGCGCTTGTTCTGGATGTCTAGCCGCTTCGAGGCCAGCTCCTGCGTCTCCTGCTCGCCACCGCCGCGGGACGCGGGCTGGAAGCCGCCGGGCCCGCCGCCGCCGCGCTCACTGCCGCTGTCGCCGTCCGCCATCTTCTCGGCTGCCGCCTCGCCGCCACCGCCCGCCGCGCTCGCGCCCCCGCCCTCCGCCCTGCGGCTCGCGCTCCGGGGCCCCCCAGCCTCGCCCGCTCGGCTCGCTCACGCGCTCCCGCCGCTCATCGCCGGCCACCGCCGCCCCCCATCGCCTCCACGCCCCGCCCCCGCAACTTCCGCGCAGCCCGGGACACTTCCGGTGCGCGGCTTCCCGTGACGCCATTCTGCCCCGCCCATCACGGTCTCGCGGCCGGAAGCGCCTTAGCGGCAGGGCGCAGAGGGGTGACGTCAGGGGCCGCGCTGCCGGCGGCTTGAGGTGAGGTCTTGCTTTTGCTAGGCGGCCGGGCCTGAGGACTTATCGTTGTTAGCGTGACTCAGGTCTTCACTGCATCTGTCCACATGTCCCTCTCCATGTCTCCATGGCACTTTTGTTTTAGACTCCAGTGTCTTCCAATCCCTCTGCACCGTTTCTGGGGCGTTGAAACCGCCCTTTATAAAGTTAATAAAAGGCCGTTAAGATGGGAACAGTGGTAGGGGCCTGAACTCTGCAAAGGTACAGGCATAGTTAAAATTTAAAAAAATTTATATATATATAAATCTCCAGTTGTTGTTCCCCAGCTTGCTTCTCTATAATTGTTTACTACTCAGGAGTCACATAGGTGATGGTCTTAAAGTTTCTTAGCTTTCTTCATTGTTCTCATAGATGTCAGAACCATTGAAACCTAAGGCCGGTCTTTGACATATCTTCCAGACCCTGCATTCCAGTGGACCTACTGACCCAACCAGACCAGTAGCCCATAGCAAGGAACCAACTCGACTGGTCTTACTACCTGGGAACTGACACAGTGCAAGAAAACAATTTCTGCTTCAAGATCCTATGAGTTCATCCCCAGCCAATCAGCAGACCCTATTCCCTATCCTTGTGCCTGCCAGACTATCTTTAAAAACCTTTTCTTCCAAATTCTCAGGGAGTTGGATTTGAGAAATTCCTCCCATCTCTTTGCATGGTGCCTGTGATATTAAACTCTTTCTCCGCTGTAGCTCCTGCTGTCTCAGTGTATTGGCTACCTCTTGAGTAGTGGACAGTGAACCTGGCTGGGCTGTAACAATGTTAGTTCAGCACACTCAGGACCCTGCCATTTGCCTTGGCTGTGTGCTGGGGACACAACCCCAGTCTATACACTCTAGCTGCCTGAGATGAGAGGGTTTCTTGAGAGCCTCCAGAAGCAGGTTCTGATGGGCCTGTGGGGCTAACAGGAGGAGGCATGAATTGAGTCTGAAGGACAAGTTGCAGTTGGCTCAGTGACTCTGGAGAAGAGTGTTTCCAGCACAGGGGGAGGCAGTGCAGAGGCACACAGGACTTGACCCTGGGAGCTCAGAGAAGCTGGGTGTGTGTGTGCTTGAGGAGTGGTCCTAGATGACACTGGAGGATAGGCTAGAATCTATAGATCAAAGAAAGCCATCTGTAATGCAGAGAGTTAGTGCCCCAGAGTTTGGAGCCTCATATGTCTTCAGATTCACATTTTAGAAAGATCACTGTGAGGGCAATGTAGAAGATGGTTTAGAATGAAGTGAGATTTGGATCTGAAGATCCCAATTTCTTGCGGTCCCCATGATTACCAGCTATATTAAAGTGGTTAAAGAAATTGACCCTGCCAAGCTCTAGTTTCTTATTAATAAGATGTGAATAATTCCTATGGGGTCTTTTTGTTGTGAGCACTGACGTGTAACAAGAGGCAGTATTGGAAAAGTGTTAAATAGCAGACTGCAGTCACACTGTCCAGGTTTGGATCTGTGTGACCTTGAATAGTTAATTTAATTTTCCCAAGCCGAAGTTTCCTTATCCTTAAATGTAGCTATTAATAGATAATGAATCTGACCAAGGACTTGTGCCCAAAATATATAAAGAACACTTACAACTCAATAAGACAATCCGATATAAAAAAACGAGTGAAAGATTTTAACAGACATTTCTACTGAAAAAGATATGCAATAGCCAATAAGCACATGAAACAATGCTCAGCATTATTCCTCATTAGGGAAATGTAAACTAAAGTCACAATGAAATATCATTAAATACCAACTAGAATGGCTAAAATTAAAAAGACTAACATCAGCTGGGCATGGTGGCTCATGCCTGTAATTTCAACACATAGGAGGCTGAGGCAGGAGGATTGCTTGAGGCCAGAGTTGGAGACCAACCTGGGCAACATAGCTAGACACCATCTGTACAAAGAAAATATAATTGAGTGTTATGGCATGCACCTGTAGTCCCAGCCACTACAGAGGCTGAGGCAGGAGGATCAGTTGAGCCCAGGAGTTGGAATTTTTAGTGAATCATGACTGCACCAGTGCACTGCAGCCTGGATGACTGAGAAGGATGTGGAGAAACTGTAACTCTCACACATTGCCGCTGGGAATGGAAAATGGTGTAAACACTTTGGAAAACACTTTGGCAGTTTCTTATAAACATATACCTACCATAAGGCCCAACTGTTTCACTTCTAGGTATTTACCCAAGGGAAGTGAAAGTATGTACATACAGAATATACTGTATGACTCTATTTACACAAAAGTCTAGAAAAGGAAATATGTATATATGTCAGAAAGCAAGCCAGTAGTTGCCTGGCCCAGACGTAGAGGGAGGAATAGATTGGAAAGGGCAGCACTAGGAAACTTTCACGGATGATGGAAATATTCTGTATCTTCTTTGTGGTAGTGGTTTCACAGATTTGCCAAAGCCCATTCAACTGTATTTATAGTAGAAAAATTATACCTCAATAATGGTTTGTTGTTTTTTTTTTAAAGAGAGGAATTAACGAGGATGTTGGGGACATCTGCACTAAAAATAAAAATACCTTGGCCGAGCGTGGTGACTCACACCTGTAATCCTAGCTTTCTGGGAGGCCGAGGCGGGCGGATCGTTTGAGCTCAGGAGTTTGAAACCAACCTGAGCAAGAGCGAGACCCCATCTCTACTATAAATAGAAATAAATTAATTGGCCAACTAATATATATAGAAAAAATTAGCCGGGCATGGTGGCGCATGCCTGTAGTCCCAGCTATTTGGGAGGTTGAGGCAGAAGGATTGCTTGAGCTAGGCTGACACCATGGCACTCACTCTAGCCTGGGCAACAAAGTGAGACTCTGTCTCAAAAAAAAAAAAAAAAAAATATCTTGTAGAATTGTTGGCTGATAATCCTTAAAACATAATGCCTAATTACAGCGAGTGTTCAGTAAATGTGGACTCCAGGTGTCTGATGAGTTCAGAGAGGGGTGAATAGTGGAGATCAGGTTTGGGAGTTGCCAGCAGATAAGGTGGATTTGATATCAGGGTCTCAGGAGAAGGAGTTTTCAAGGGAAGACACTAAATTGTGGGCCTTGAACATTTCCATCCTTGGAGAGGATGTGGAAATTCAAATCCCTGAGGAAGGAATGCAATGTCAGGCATCACCTGACTTTCATAAAAAATGTCCACCCAACTCATTCTTGAATTTCTTGCTAATTAAACAACTTTCTGATTTCTCCTCTAATGCAGCTTCCTTGCACAAGGGACTCCAACATTCACTTCATGCAAAGGAGTCTTTATCCCTCTGTTCATTTGTTATCAGTTTGATTTCAACGAGTCAGGTTCTATTTAATGAGTTAGATCCTATTGCTTATTTCTTTTGACATCTCATTCTTTGCTTTTAAGCTTAGGATCTTTTCCCATTTCATATATTCGGTAATCACATTTTTGGTTTGACTTTTTATGTGTGTGATTATATTTTTCATTCTTTTTTTTTTTTTAGACAGAGTCTCACTCTGTTGCCTTGGCTAGAGTGCCGTGGCATCAGCCTTGCTCACAGCAACCTCAAACTCCTGGGCTCAAGCAATCCTTCTGCCTCAGCCTCCCAAGTAGCTAGGACTACAGGCATGTGCCACCATGCCCAGTTAATTATTCTATATAATTTTAGTTGTCTAGTTAATTTATTTCTATTTTTAGTAGAGATGGGGTCTCGATCTTGCTCAGGCTGGTCTCAAACTCCTGACCTCAAGCGATCCTCTCACTTCAGCCTCCCAGAGTGTTAGGATTATAGGCGTGAGCAACCCACACCCAGCCTATATTTTTATTTCTATGTATGTTTAACTATAGCTTATCTTGAATATATTTTGGTATAGAGTATGAAGTGAAGAATTTAAAATATCCTTCAAATGATGAACCAATTGTTCCAATACTATTTATTGAATAATCCTTTAAGGATGGATCTTAACAGGTGGGGATAGGGGCAGGTTATTTTGAGCAGAGGGATCATATGACTCCAGATGGCAAGAAGTCCAGTTTGGCTAGAGCCCAGAGTCTGTGTGAGGAGTGGGTGATGAACAATGGATCTGGGAGGTACCTAGACTGGGTCCCATTAAAGAGGACTTTGACTTGTAAGCAGGGAGCTTGGGCTAAATTTAAAAGTCGAGGGGGAGTTCACATCAGACTGTGTGAACAGGAGTGTGATCCCTCCAGCTCTGTGGTTAAGGAAGTGACTCATGGTAGAGGACAGAATGGGTGGATTGGGGTGGGATCCAGGATGGGCCCTCATCTAGGAGGCAATGACCAAGTTGCAAACCAGAGCCAGTGAGGACTGGGTGAAGCTGGTGGCAGCTGGTGAGAGAGGAAGGAGCATGTGGGGCCTTTGGGTCAGGATTTAAAAACTGAACAAGGGGGAAGGACATGGTGCTATAATCCCAGCACTTTGGGAGGCTGAGGGAGGAGGATCACTTGAGGCAAGGAGTTTGAGACCAGCTTGGGCATGCATGTGTAGTCCCAGCTACTAAGAGGCTGAGGCAGGAGGACTGCTTGAGCCCAGGAGTTTGAGGTTACAGTGAGCTATGATCATGCCCTGTCTCAAAAAAACCCCCAAAACCAAAAATCAAAACTAATGTGGCTAGATCTGGGGCCAGAGACCAGGGCCTTAGTAGACCTTAGTAGAATGAGGCTTTTCAGGGGGATGAACCCTTTACTCTCTTGATGAAGATGATATCAAGCACTGAATTGAGACTGCTGC